TCAGAAGAGAGTGGAGAAGCATATTTGAAGACATCGTTGCTGAGCATTTTTCAAAATTGATGAGAGGTCTCTTTTGTCAGTGTGACGGTCTGTTCGTTATCTAGTCTGCATTTCCTAAATAGTTGCTTTTTAAGATTTTTCTTTTTATCTTGTTTCCTCAAACTGAGAAGTTATATTGTCCGTCAAATCTGTAATTTTCTTCGTCATTAACCCTTGAGTTGCCTCTTCTTCACTCTCTCTTTTCTTCCAGTGTTCCCTTGGCTAAAGGTCGGATCCTCGCGTTCTGAACCTTTCTCTCAGCGCTTCAGATGGAAGCCGTCCCCTGAATTCAGAAAGATTTCTTCAAACCTGTCCTCCAGTTTTACTGATTTTCTGTCTAGCCATGTCCTCTCTGCTGGTTAACCTGTGATTAATTTCACTGACTGTACTTTTCATTTCTCAAAGTTCTATTTCAAATTAACTAATCTTTTATGATAGGCTCTTTTTCCTTTTAATGATTTCAATGCCATATTGCATACCTTTAGTCATTTAAATGTTTATATCCTAGTAGCTATAGTTCTTGAGAGTCTGATTTAGCTGTTTTGTATTAGCTTTGACTTTTACTCGTTAACTGATTTTTTTTGGAGTTGGGGTCTCACTCTGTCACCCAGGCTAGAGTGCAGTGGCATGATCGCAACTTACTGCAGCCTCAACCTCGAGCTCAGGTTATCCTTCTGCCTCTGCCTCCTGAGTAGCTGGAACTACAGGTGTGTGCCACTGCATCCAGCTGATTTTTTTTTTTTTTTTTTGTACAGATGAGGTCTCACTATATTGCCCACGTTGGTCTTGAAATCCTGGGCTCAAGCCATCCTTCTGCCTTTGCCTCCTAAGTTGCCTGGCTTATAGGCGTGAGCCACTACACCCAGACTATTAACTGATTCTTGATGTGTTGCGACCTTACGTTTGGCAAGACTTTGTGGGAAATCTTTGTTAGAAAGATCAAACATGATAAATCTCTGGAAAAACAACAAAGGATTTTCCATAAACAGTCCCCTGCCAATCATCAGCTCACAACTGGCCTGTAGTAGTAAGTTCTCAGAAGACAGTCTGTTATCCTCTTCTTTGTCCATTTCCTCCTCTTCCTCTTTTTTTTTTTTTTTTTACACTGGAAAATATAGTTTATTCAGAAAGTAAATTAGAGAGAGAAAAGAGAGAAGATTCACCTCCCCGATGTAGGGGAGGGGGCCAAAGCTAGGAAACATGGTGGCCGCAGCTAAAAGAGCACAAGGCCCGACCAGTGCTTAACAAAACAATAGCCTTCCTCTTTCTTTTCACCATCCAGATAACCAAGACAAATTTTCCTGCAACCTTTTTTTGTTTCTGTGATGTCTGTCTGTGACACAGAACAGATTTTATCACTCTTGCCACTTTTTTGGTTTTGATCAGCTTTATTGAGGTGTAATTTACATTCAATAAAATTCTCCAATTTTATTTATGTATGTATTTACTTATTTTTAAATTTTAAAGATGTGGGGTACAATTCAGGATTAGGTATACACGTGGTCATTGTACAGGTAAAGTTTGGGCCTCCCTTTGTTACCCACTTTGCCTGGTTTGAGATCAGGTACCCAAAATTCACCAATTTTATCTTATTTTATTTTAATTTTTTTGAGTTGGAGTCTCACTCTGTCGCCCAGGCTGGAGTGCAATACATTCACGGCCAGCGTAGCTTCGACCTGCCAGGCTCAGTGATCCTTCCACCTCAGCCTTCCAACAGTTAGCTGGTACTACAGGCACGCACCACACCCAGCTAATTTTTTTGATTTATTGTAGAGATGCAGTCTTGCCAAGTTGCCCAGGCTAGTCTGGAACCCATGGACTCAGGCTATCCTCTCACCTTCGCCTCCCAAAGTGCTGGGATTATAGGCATGAGCCACCGCGCCTGGCCTTTTACAAAGATTTATATGAAAATTATCAGCTGGGCGCAGTGGCTTATGCCTGTAATTCCAGCACTTTGGGAGGCAGAGATGAGAGGATTGCCTGAGTCCAGGGGACTAGCCTGGGCAGCTTGGTGTGAGGCCTCGTCTCTACAATAAATCAAAAAATTAGCCAGGTGTGGTGGCACACGCCTGTAGTTCCAGCTACTTGGAAGACTGAGGCAGAAGGTCACTGCACTCCAACTTGGGCAACAGAGTGAGTCTCCAACTCAAAAAAAAGTGGGGAGGGGGCAGGGCGGAGCCTGGGCAACTTGGTGAGACTTTCTCTCTCCAAAAAAATGTTTTAAAGAATTTGCCACGTATAGTGGTGCGCATCTGTAGTCCCAGCTACTCAGGAGGCTGAGGTGGGAGGATCATCTGAGCACAGGCGGTTGAGGTTGCAGTGAGCCGGGAATGTGCCAATTCCAGTCTGGGTGACATAGTGAGAACCCAACTCAAAAACATAAATAAAGTAAAATGAATTAGGCTGTTTGTCTTTTTACTATCAAGTTGTAAAAATTATTTTTATGTTATGGGTATGCCTTTGGGTCTATATTTTACATATATTTTGAAGTCCAGTTTTGTTGTTTTTTTTTTGAGTTGGAGTCTCACTCTGTTACCCAGACTGGAGTGCAGTGGCAGGCTTATGGCCACTGCAGCCTCAACTTGCTGGGCTCCAAAGGATCCTTCTGCCTCAGCCTCCCAAGTAGCTGGAACTACAGGCATGCACAACCTCAACCAGCTAATTTTTTGATTTATTGTAGAGACAAGGTCTCGCCAAGTTGCCCAGGCTAGTCTCAAACCCCCAGACTCAGGCAATTCTCTTGCCCTTGCCTCCCAAAGTGCTGGGATTACAGGCGTGAGCCACCACACCTGTAATGAAGTCTAATTTTTAAACTTTACACCACTGCATTCCGACCTAGGCAACAGAGCAAGACTCTGGCTCTAAGATAGATAAATGTTGAATCTTTCAGTTCATGAGGATAGGTTGTCTATTTAGCTTAATTTCTCAGTATTATTTTATATTTTTTCAGTGTACACATCTCATACATCTTTTGTTAGATTTATTTCTATTTAGCTTACCATTTACAATAACATTATTAAAAAATTTTTTTTGAGTTGAGGTCCCACTCTGTCACCCAAGGTGGAGGGCAGTGGCACGCTCATGGCCATCGCAGTCTCAACCTTCTGGACTCAGGCAATCCTTCCATCTCAGCCTTCCAAGTAGCTGGAACTACAGGCATGTGCCACCATGCCTGACTAATTTTTCTTGATTTGTTGTAGAGATGAGGTCTTGCCAAGTTGCCTAGGCTGGTCTGGAACCCATGGGCTCAGGCAGTCGTCTCACTTCGGCCTCCCAAAGTGCTGGGATTATAGGCGTGAGCCACTGCACCCGACCTTAAAATTTTTAAAATGCATTTCTAGTATGTAAAAACATAGTTGACTTCTTTTTTTTTTTTGAGTTAGAGTCTCACTCTGTCACCCAGACTGGAGTGCAGTGGCCACTCCCGGCCACCACAGCCTCTACCTGCTGGGCTCCAGTGATCCTTCCGCCTCAGCCTTCCAAGTAGCTGGAACTACAGGCACGCGCTACCATGCCCGGCTAATTTTTGATTTATTGTAGAGATGAGGTCTCACCAGGTTGCCCAGGCAGGTCTCGAACCTGCGGGCTCAGGCAATTCATTCACCTCGGCCGCCCAAAGTGCGGGATTACAGGCTGAGCCATTGAGCCCAGCCTGGTTGACTTCTTTTTATTGATGTATCCTGAGACCTAGTTAAAACACTTATAAGTTTTAGTACCTTTTTTGTACTAGGATTATTTTAGGATTATCCTTATAGCTGTCTGTCATCTGAATAAAAACTTTACTTCTCCCTTTCCAGTCTCTGTGCTTTTTATTACTTTTTCTTGCCTGTGGCCATTGACTGGAACCTATAGCACAATGCTGAGTAGAAGTGAGTATATCCCTGCTTTTCAGGAATATGCTTCCCATATGGAGATATTTTCTTCTTAACTCCTCAAACTCTGTTCTAAATTGTATCTGAAATGTTCAGATGGGTTGAAAGGAACAGTACTGAGGAGTTGAATGCTATTGCTATGAAGCAGGGTTTGTGTTTTAGACTAGGAGAGCATGGTAGTCGAGTCAGCTTGTCGTCTCTGACCTGTCACGGAGTCTGAGTGGGGGTAGTTGCTGTTTAGAGTCTGAGTGAGAGTAGTTGCTGTTATAATCTGAGTGGAGGTGGTTGCGGTTAGAGTCTGGATGGGGATAGTCTGAAATGAACTTGCTAACGTGCAGGATGCGTTGTAATATAGAGTGGAACGTGGCTTAAATAAATGAAAGGAGACCTTCATGAGAAAACATACTAATCCTAAGTGGTAGTTTGTCGCCTTGCCTCTGACTGACCAACTATAAATTGGCGTTCCCACTACCCTCTCCTTAGATTCAATTAATTGCTAGGAAGGCTCACAGAACTCAGAGAAATACCTGTGTTTACCAGTTTATTGTAAAAGATACCTGTGAACAGCCAGATGATGGGGTGCATAGGGCAAAGTCTGGAAGGGTTCCCAAGTGCAGAAGCTTTTGCCCCTGTGATGTTGGGGTGCGCCATCCTCCCTGCACATGGATATAATCACCAACCTGGAAGCTCGTCAGAAGTTTCATAGAGCTTCGTCTCCAGCACCCACCACCCCTTTCCTGGAGGTTGGTGGGTGGGGCTGGACGTTCTCATCCTCTGATTTGTCTTTCTGGTGACGGTTCTCATCTTGAGGTTATCTAGGGATCCTATCCAAATCAACTCATCAACATAAAGTGTAATGAAAGGGCTTGTTATGAATAACAAAAAACACTTCTATCACTTAGGAGACCCCAAGGGTTTTAGGAGTGTTGTACAAGAACCAAATATTATTAAAAGGATGCTCCAGTCACCCTTACTACTCAGGAAATTACAAGGGATTTAGGAGCGCTGTGCCAAGAACTGGCAAGACAAAAAAAAATATGTATTTCTTATTTTACAAAAGGGTTTTGTAGAGTGCTTTATTATTGACATGCTGCTTTAATATCTTTCAGATACCTGGATTTGAACTGCATTTTGAAATCCATCTGCACTTAAAATGCCACCAGCAGTTGGGGGTCCGGTCGGGTATACCCCCCCAGATGGAGGCTGGGGGTGGGCAGTGGTCATTGGAGCTTTCATCTCCATCGGTTTCTCCTACGCGTTTCCCAAGTCCATCACTGTCTTCTTCAAAGAGATCGAAGGTATATTCCATGCCACCACCAGTGAAGTCTCTTGGATATCTTCCATCATGCTGGCCGTCATGTATGCCGGAGGTAAGGACCCGTGAAGGCCTGCTCTGTTAACTGGCATTAAGCAGCTAGAGCCCCTGAGTTAGAAAACTTTTTTGAAAAAAGTCTCATTTTCAGTGAGATGTCTTGAAATTTTATTTCTTAAAGTTTTGTGTTTAGAGGCACATTTTTCATTCCTGCTAGCGTGGATATTCTTGCTCTGTTTCTTTCACTGTAATATTCCAAAACAGAAGTGAAAAATTATGAAGAGCCCTGATTTGCCCCAATCCAAGTATCATTGAGCTTAGATGCTCTCATAAAAGTGGTGTGTGCACAACTGGTTTTTCTTGTTGCTTTCTGCTGAGCTCTTGAATGTAAACATAATACAGAATTTAAAAAATTGATGTTGAAAGAATTAAAATAAGTCAGGCTATTCTGATTCATTCAAAGTCTCAGGTAAAATTTTTATATGTTAGAATTAAGAACTGAATAAAACCTCTCCAATGTTCCATGTTATGTTGAGTTCTAACAGCATTTCAGCTGCACTCTGAAGTTTTACTTTCTTTCCCTTCTGTTTTCTTTGGGAAGTGTAGAGAGAATAAATTGCTTACTAAACACCATGTGAAATACTGTTTGTTTTACCTTGGTTTACAAGGTGAATCACTGTGCCTGGCCCAGATTCTTCTTCTATAGCTCTTTAGCAGCCACTATAAGGAGTCTGCGTTTCAACTGTAAATAACCTCGCCTTAGGCTACTAAGATGGTGGCAGATACAACCAATGTGTACTGAGCCTTGAGTATATTCAGCACTGGGCTAGGTGTTGTGAGTGATAGAGAACACTGATCTCTTCCTTGGAGAAGTTTGTGATCCTTTTCGAACACTAATGTAAGTTCATGAGACAGGAATGAGTAGTTGAAATCATAAGTTAATTAAACATATAGTTAAAGTGCACAGAAGAAACAGATTGGGAACAGGAGTGGGGAGACTTACTTTTTCCACTGTATATCTTTTTATGCCTTTTATGCTTTGAATATAGGCCTAGCCTATTTTGTCTATTTAATTAAATACATGTTTAAATAACCAAAGTGCTATATTGTGGCATTTATTTTTTTTAAAGTTCAGAAAAATCAAAAGGGACTTTGGACATTATCTCGATTCTGAGAACCAATAATTTTGTGGGCTCCAAATCAGTCTGCCAGGATTTCTGATCAAGCTTTGACTATGGTGGCTTAAAGGAATTGGTATAAATATTATCCAGAGGTACTCCAGGTGCTCAGTGTATCTTTCAGCTGAGTATAAACCAGAGGTTCACATGTTGCAATTCTGTGCTACCGAAGAGTCTGAAGGCCACTTGTATTTTGCATCAAAAGTAAGTGATGTCAGTTGTGCTGATTGCACATGACTCTTTCCTTTGGGAAAACAGTTCTTTCTTTGTCCTTACCCAGATAGTGAGATAACTAACACATTTCTCTGCATTTGTGTTGTAATAGGCCTATAAGCTGTACCCCTTTCTATTTTTAATGATAGCTAATTAGGGCCATCATTCCTGAAATAACTCTTAAAAGACAAATTGCCTATCCTGAGCCTTGCTGTAGAACTTTTACTAAATGGGTTATTTTGTTTTGATTGGCTTCTTTTTTTTTGAGTTGGAGTCTCATTCTGTTGCCTAGACTGGAGTGCAGTGGCACGCTCCCGGCCACCGCAGCCTCGACCTGCTGGGCAGCCTCGACCTGCTGGGCTCCGGCGATCCTTCCGCCTCAGCCTTCCAAGTAGCCGGAACTACAGGCGCGCGCTACACGCCCGGCTAGTTTTTGATTTATTGTAGAGATGAGGTCTCGCCAAGTTGCCCTGGCGGGTCTCAAACCCATGGGCTCAGGCAATCCACTCACCTCGGCCTCCCAAAGTGCTGGGATTATAGGCTGAACCACCGAGCCTGGCCTGATTGACTTCTAAGTAGTATGTCTCTAAGAATTTTCATCACTTTTACAATGGTCATAATCTAACATGTGCACTGGGACCAAACTCTGAACACTAATATGCTTTGAGCTATGATTGGTTTCGCTTTCTTTTTTAGTGCTTTGGGTCAGACATTATATACTGATGGTGGTTCTCGAGTTTTAAGTATATTTTGCGGGGAGGAGATCTTAGTTGCCCACTCTTAGTTTTGTTTGTTTTTCCTTTCTAAAAAATACCACGAAAGTATAAATTTACATAGTTTCAGTTGTACAATAGACATCTTAACACTCTAGGTTTGGAATTTCAAATATAACAAAATTTGCTTAATTTTTATCATACAGAGTCATCAGTATGGCAATATTGATCTCTGTAATTCTGTATAAAATGTCATGACTAACTTATATGGAAATATTTCATAATTCTTTTAGTATTTTAATTATTTCATCTTATACAATAAATAAATCCAAATTGTTTTCAAATCAGCTGTGACCTAATATTTTCATGAAGTGACTAGGTTAGTCTGTTCAGGCTGCTATAACAAAAATACTCTAGATTGGGTAATTTATAAACAATAGATATGTATTACTCACAGCTGAGACTGGGAAGTCCAAGATCAGGGTTCCAGCAGATTTGGTGTCTGGTGAGAGCTCAATCCTCACCAGCAGTGCCTTCTGTGTCCTCATGTAGCAGAAGGGAAGACTAGCTCCCTCAAGCCTCTTTCATCAGAGCACTGATCCCATTTATGAAGGCTCAGCCTTCAAGACCTCATCACTTCCTAAAGGCCCTACCTCTTAATACTGTTGCATTGGGGATTAGGTTTCAACATATGAATTTGGGAGGACAGCAACATTCAGACCATAGCAACGACTTGGAAGGCACCAATAAATGCTTTCTGCCCATCCTAGCTTCCTCCTCTCGCGCCAGTTCTTTATCCAGCATCTTAGAGATCCTTTGAAAAACATGGATAATCAAAAGTTCTACTTCCTTCTTTTACTTATTGTATGTATAAATATGTATAAATACATACAATAAGTAAAAGAAGGAAGAACGAGGTTCTTCCTTCTTAGACTTATATGAGAGAGAGAACGAGGTCACGTGAAAGTGTAGACACATGTTCTAGGATCAGTATTGTCACTGCCAATATTTGCTGAGGACCTAGCAAACATTTCACATATACTAGTTGGTGTTTTATTCTTTTTTTTTTTTTTTTTTTTTTTGGAATTGGAGTCTCATTCCATCACCCAGGCTGGAGTGCGGTGGCACTCACGGCTATCCCAGCATCGATCTGCTGGACTCAGGCCATCCTTCCACCTTAGCCTTCCAAGTAGCTTGAACTATAGGCACACACTACCATGCCCAGCTCATTTTTTGATTTATTGTAGAGATGAGGTCTCACCAAGTTGCCCAGGCTGTTCTTGAATCTGTGGGCTCAGGCAGTGCCCTCACTTCAGCCTCCCAAAGTGCTGGGGTTACAGGCTTGAGCCACTGCGCCCAACCCAATGTTTTATTCTTTCAACAACCCTAGGAGGCAGATCAATAATAACCTCTTATGAACAAAGAGAAGAAAGTGGTAGAACCACAATTTGAATTAGGGTCCTTTAGTATACCATACCACAACTCTTGAATAGTAATACTAGAATATAAGTAACTGCAGAATTTTCCATAGTGTTTATGGAAATGGAATATGCCAACATATGGTCATTACTGTACTCTCAGTACATTGAATATATATTCTTAAAAATAGACTGTTTGGCCGAGCTCAGTGGCTCAGCCTGTAATCCCGTGCCTTTGGGAGGCTGAGGTGAGTGGATTGACTGAGCCCGCGGGTTCGAGACCCGCCTGGGCAGTGAGACCTCATCTCTACAATAAACCAAAAAATTAGCTGGGCGTGGTAGTGCACACCTGTAGTTCCAGCTACATGGAAGGCTGAGGCGGAAGGATCGCCGGAGCCCAGCAGGTCGAGGCTGCGGTGGCTGGGAGCGGCCGCTGCACTCCAGTCTGGGTGACAGAGTGAGACTCCAACTGAAAAAAAAAAAAAATAGACTGTTTGGAAAAGGCTTTCTTATAATTAAGGTTTATACATTTGGAAATGGCAAATTACAGATTATACCTATTTGTAGCAAGTAGGAAAGAGGCCATTTGATTTTTACATTGGAAAACTGATACATGAAATGAATTAAATATTTCCCTGGTACTTATCATGTTTTATTTTTCATTTGGTTCCTTTTCTCACATTAAAAAAAACTAATATTTTTATATGCATTGATTTAGCTGAGGAAATTTAACCTGGTTTTCTTGGATAATGCTCCATTTTCTATCCTTGAGTTGTTAGACCCAAGGTTATGTTAACTGTTATCTGACTTAATCTTCTCCTGCAAGCATTTTTCACAGTATTGCTACCATGAAACATATAATAGTAGCACAGGCATGGAACCAAGTAATTCAGGAAGCTATATTTGGTTTAATACCTAAAACATCTAGGTGGAACTAGGAACAGTTTTGGTTTTTTAATCACATGATCTAACTGCAAAACTACTAAGCTTGGAAAAATGAGATATATTTTTGTCTTTGTTTTTCTCCTTTTAAAAAATAAGACATAACGTACTTTTATGATAGTATATACTCTAAGACCTATTCAGGTGTGTTCATATATCTCATATCAGTGTGCCTGTCTAAAAATTAAAACAGAGCAAACTTTCTAAGTATATGTTGATTATATCTTAGATACATCAGCTTCCCTGGGATCGTACCTTACCAAAGTGTTTTCAGCCTGTCTTGCCTTAAGAGAGAAAGATTAAGGATAAGCTTGGATCTTACGTATTTTGGTAAAATTCCTTCCATTATTTTAGGTCTAGAACATGCATAATTGATGATGTTTTCTAGCACTTGTATTTTCCAGTACACATACAGTGACTCAGAAATAATTATAGGAAGCAGTATTCTCATCACTGCCTCTTGTTTCTTTTGGAGGACTTGCCATTTATTGTCAGCCATGCCTTGCATAGATGCGAGGGAATAGATTCCTTTTCACTACTAAATGTTTGCTTATCTCCTAGGTCCTATCAGCAGTATCCTGGTGAATAAATATGGTAGTCGTCTGGTCATGATTGTTGGTGGCTGCTTGTCAGGCTGTGGCTTGGTTTTAGCTTCTTTCTGTAACACTGTGCAAGAACTTTACTTGTGTATCGGAGTCATTGGAGGTGAGTTGCTACTGATTCATTTTCAAGTATTAATTATTGCTGACTGTTTGCTACACACCTGCATTCATCTTTAAGAATGACTTTTGAGTGAAATTGTTTCCCTATAGAAATGACTTTATTGCCAGGTGCAGTGATGCCTGTAATTTCAGCACTTTGCGGGGCAGAGTAAAAGGATTGCCGAGCCTAGGAGTTCGAGACCAGCCTGGGCAACTTGATGAGACTTTGTCTCTACAATAAATCAAAAAATTAGCCACACCTGTGGTTCTAGCTACTTGGAAAACTGAGGCAGAGGAGTTGCCTGAGCCCAGCAGGTTGAGGCTGTGGTGGCCATGAGTGTGCCACTGCACTCCAGCCTGGGCGACAGAGTGAGACTCCTCAAAAAAAAAAAATTGCTGCTACATAATGGGTATTTATTGCTTGTTTATTGAATTAATGAATTGAAAGAGGTGATTTAACAATGATATTCCTTGCACTAAGAATAAACAGTAGTAGTAGATACAATGTGTGTGGCAATCTGTTGCAACAGTGGTCGTTGGTTAGTCTCTTACCTCTTCTTCCCAAAGGGAGTAGTCTTTGGAGCAGGAGAGAATGCTAAACATAAAGCAGGAGTGATTTGATAGATGTCCAGGTAACATTTCTGAGGGGTAGATGATACACTTGATAATCTCACCCCGCTTTTTAAAATTTTAAGCTAATGAACTGCTGATGAGTGTAATGAATAAATATTACTATAACCTCACAGTTCAAATAATAACAGTATTAACATTTTGGTGTATTTCCTCCCATATATTTTTAATGCAAAAACATAACCTTTTTTAGAACTTTAAAGGATTGGATTATGTATAATGTTTTGTAACTAGCTTTTTTCCACTTCATATGTTGTGAACGTCTTACGTGCCATTATTCTATTATACAGCAATTTTAATCTCTATTATTCCATTGGATGGGTATATTATAATTTTATATGACCAATCTCTTAGTTATTATAATTGTTGAATATTTAGGGTTTTCATTTGTTTTAAATTTTCTTACAATTAATAAGTATTAGGTTGAAAGTCTTTTGTGAACTTGAATATTTTCTTGGGGTTAATTTGTAGAAAGAGAACGAACTACTGTGTATGTGTTTTAGTACATGTATGCTAACTTGCCCTCCAGAAAGGTTATACTTGCTGATAGTCCCACCACAACCTTCTGCCTTGAAAGTTATTTTCCATTCCAAGATTATGAAAATGTTTGTTCACTTTTTCTAGTACATCTTATTTTTTACATTTAAAAATTCTGAATGGATGGAAACATCTGACATAAAATAGAAAAAATACATATAACTGTTTGTTCCTACATGTTTAACTAGTTGCTTCATTTTCTCTTTTATTAATTTATTTGGGGAAGATTTGTTTCTTTGTTTGTCTGTCTGTTTGAGGCAGGGTCTCAGTCTGTCACCCAGCATAGAATGCAGTGGCACAATCACAGCTTACTGCAGCCTCAACCTTTTGTACTCAGGCGATCCTTCTGCCTCAGCCTCTCAAGTAGCTAGGGAGTACAGGTGTGTGCCACCACTCCCGGCTAATTATTTAATTTTTTTGTAGAGCTGAGGTTTCGCTATGTTGTCTAGTCTGGTCTTGAATTCCTGGACTCAAGCTGTCTTTGCGCCTCAGCTTCCCAAAGTGTTGGGATTAGAGGCACGAGCCACTGCCCTGCCTGCTATTTGTTGAATATTTATTGAGCAGCAACTCTATATATATGTTCAGAATCATTTCAGGTGCTGTGGGGATAGAGCAAAAAGTCAGGCAAAGGCATGCTTTTTCATGGGAGGAGGCAGACAGTACACCTCACATATGTGAATAAACAAGAAAAACATCAGGTAGCGATAAAAGCTATATGGAGCCTTAAAATGCAGTGTTGTGGCGGGGAAGAACCGCAGACAGCGAAGGTAAGGGCTCACCAAAAGTTGACTTTAAGTAGAGATCCGAACAATAAGGTACCAGCTTTGTGAAAATGTAGGGGATCAGACCCTAGAGCACATGTGAGAATGGCCTGGTGTGAGAGGTCAGAGCGGGAAGGGTGGGCCAGAGAAGAGGACCGAAGCCATTCCCGGTTTGAAGCAGGAAGTGACTTGCTCTATTTCATTGGCTGAAGCCTCTGGGAACAGCTTAAAGGCAGGTGTAGGGAGCGGAGGTCAGGGAGTGCATCTAGGAGGTTCTTTGGGAATTTGCCTCTACTAGCACTGTTTATTGAATAATTTATTTTTTCCACTGATTTTAAGATACCACTTTATCCTACATTAAGTATTACTGTATATTTCAACTCCTTGAACTGTCTGTCCACTTCCATTGCTTGATGTTCGCCTGTTCCTGAGACAGGACCCCCATGTCTCAATGACTGCGGCTTTTATAAAGCCACGTAAGTAGCTGTTCTCTCTGGACCTGCTCCTGCCACTGCACCACCAGAATGTCCTAGTAGCTCTTTTTGCGTTTGTTCTCTGTCATTCATGTTCCCTAAGTAGGGGCATTTTGCCTCAATTTCAAAATAAAATCCACTAACATCTACGTTGAATCACATAAAATTCGTATATTCCTTTCAGAAGCCTTGACATCTTGGCAGTGTTGTGTTTTATTTTCCCACAACTTTGTGTTATTGTACAACTCTCTAATCTTGGCCGGGTGCAGTGGCTCATGCCTATCATCCCAGCACTTTGGGAGGCTGAGGTGAGAGGACTGCCTGAGCCCATGGGTTTGAGACCAGCCTGGGCAACTTGGCGAGACCTCATTTCTACACTAAATCAAAAAATTATCCAGGCATGGTGGCACATACTCGTAGTTCAGCCACTTGTAAGGATGAAGCGGAAGGATCACCTGAGTCGACCAGGTTGAGGCTGCGGTGGCCGTGAGCATGCCACCACGCTCCAGCCTGGGCAACAGAGTGTGATTCCAATTATAACAAAATTATCCGATCTCTCAGAAAAGTTGCACAACTTGGGCCCTATAAATTGCACAATTTTTATTTTTTGGTGGAAGAGTGAATCATTTCATATTATATTTTCTATTGTAAATCTGTTTTATGCCCATTTTATAACTGTTTAATTAAGGATCTTCTTGTATGGCTATGATCATCCTTCAGGTGAATAAAGGATTTGACAAAATAGGCAACTATTCACCTAAATAATAAAAATAAGTAATACTTATTGAGTGCTTACGACATGCTAGGCACTGTTCTGTTTTAGGAACCTTTTCTTCACAACAGTGCCCTGTGCCTATTTTCATATCAGGAAACAGTCACAGGAGGGTCCACATGTCTGAGTTTATGCAGTAAGTAGGTAGTGAAACTGATATTTGAATCTGTGTAGTCTGTTTTAAGACTCACACCTTACAACCCCTGTATAGCATATCCTCTAATAATGAGTATTTTCTGACTTTTCCATTATTTATATCTCTTAGTTTATTTGCCTGGTTCAGTAATTTCAAATGTATTTCTAATATTTATTGCAGTATTATTTTTCCTCTTCACAGGTCTTGGGCTTGCCTTTAACTTGAACCCAGCTCTGACCATGATTGGCAAGTATTTCTATAAGAGGCGACCGCTGGCAAATGGCCTGGCCATGGCAGGCAGCCCTGTGTTCCTCTCTACTCTGGCCCCCCTCAATCAGGCTTTCTTTTATATCTTTGGCTGGAGAGGAAGCTTCCTCATTCTGGGGGGCTTGCTACTAAACTGCTGTGTGGCTGGATCCCTGATGCGACCGATAGGGCCCACGCCCACCAAGCTAGGGAAAAACAGGTCTAAAGAATTGCTTCAGGAAGCTGGAAAATCTGATGCGCAAAAAGGTCCAAGTGATGCAAATACAGATCTCATTGGAGGACGCCCCAAAGAAGAGAAACAGTCAGTCTTCCAAACAATCAATAAATTCCTGGACTTGTCCCTGTTTGCCCACAGAGGCTTTTTGTTGTACCTCTCTGGAAATGTGATCATGTTTTTTGGACTCTTCTCACCTTTGGTCTTTCTTAGTAATTATGGCAAGAGCCACCATTATTCTAGCGAGAAATCTGCCTTCCTTCTCTCCATTCTGGCTTTTGTTGACATGGTAGCCAGACCTTCTATGGGACTCGCAGCCAACACCAAGTGGATAAGACCTCGAGTTCAGTATTTCTTTGCCGCTTCGATTGTTGCAAATGGAGTGTGTCATATGCTAGCTCCTTTTTCCACTGGCACCTATGTTGGGTTCTGTGTCTATGCGGGAGTCTTTGGATTTGCCTTTGGGTGGCTCAGCTCCATATTATTTGAAACACTCATGGACCTCGTCGGACCCCAGAGGTTCTCCAGCGCTGTGGGATTGGTGACCATTGTGGAATGCTGTCCTGTCCTCCTGGGGCCACCGCTTCTAGGTATAGTATGTCTTCCCTACCTGTGTGTGTGTGTTGCCATAAAACAGGTATGCAGGACTGGGAAGGTGATAGGAAGCAAAGACGAGTGAACTGATGGTCGGCAAAGAGTGCATGTCTCTCATTTCTGTACCTTGGTGCTGGCACGGTGCTCGGCACAGCAGAGTTGCTCACGTACTTACAGAATCGGGTTATATTGAACCATAGAGCACAATGAGGGATGAAACACTACTGCAAACTTCAGGATCTTAAAAAATGTATTTTTTCTTATCATAAAACTCACATGATTACTGAAGAAAAACACCTCCACCTTTAAAGCACCAGTGATGATTCCATTTTAATGGTGGAGTTTATTTCAGTAGTATAGTCTAATAACAGCTACCGTGTACACTCACTGTGTTCCAGGGACTGTCCTGACCATTATAGATTCTGTTGTACCTCACAAGGCATATGAGGCAGGATTTGTTTTAGTCCCCCTTCGTATGTGAGAAAATGGAGGCTTCAAAGGGAGAAATAATTTAGTTAAGGCCACACAGCTTGTCTGTCTAGTAGAATTTGGGAACTATTCTCTGAGGCTACTAAATACTCTACATTTTAAATTAATAGCTCAATAGATAACACATAGTGAAAAAATGATTCAGCCTTCTCTTTGGATGCGACATGTACTTTGGGAATTTTGATTTGGGGAGTAAGTGAGTACACACAACAGAAAGAAAATCAATAGCTGCCTTTGATATCATTCTCCTCCTTCCCCTTACACTCAGTGAGTTGCTGTGTCCTGGCAGTGTCGTCTCGGAGCCTCTCTGATCTGTCTGTTTCCTCCATCTCAGCTCTCACCCGCAGGCCAGGCTCCTGACTCCTGTTTGACCGCTCCTAACAGTGGCCTCCTAGCTGGTCTGCTGTGTTGGCTGTGGCTGTTCTTCAGTCGCTCTTCGGAGTCTCTAGCTGAGAACTCGCAGAGGCTCCTGAAAACCCTCTCACTGCCTCTCCTTGCTCTCAGGGTGAAGATCAGATTCCCCCTGTGACTTGCAGGGCACTGTGTGGCCTGGCCCCACCTGTGTCTCCAGCCTGGGTTGGCTCTCTGCTCTCTCTGCCCCAGCAGCCGGCCTGTCGTCTTCCCCATCACACCATGTCTCCTCCTACCTCTCTGCCTTTGCACTTGCTGTTCTCTGCCTGGATTCTCCTCCCATCCCTCTTCTAGATAATTCCTATCCTGCAAATGTCAGCTTAGGTAATAGTTTAAAGGAAGCCTTCCTGACCCCCTTGCTGTTCCCAACCCCCTGTCCTTTGTTTTCAAAACCCTTCTTGTGGCACTTTTCTGTGTGTGTGTGTGTGTGGAATTACTGGTTAACATCTCTCTTCTCCACTGTGGATGCTATCTCCTCGGATAACTGTGGATGTGATCTCCTCTGTTCACCCTGTCCTCAGAGCCTAGCAGAGCCAGTGCCTGGTGTGCCATGGAGGCTCCGTATTGCTGAATGAATGATGCCCTGAGTTAGAAAGCCATATGGAATCCTATTTGAATTAGTTTTATTAAGTCCTGCTTAAGTGTAGAGTAGTTTTCAAAAGCTTATTCCAGGAGATACTGGTTTGATAAGATGCAAATAAATTTTACTGTAACAGAAGTTTTGTGACCAAAACAAAGTTTGGAAACACCAAGTAAAATAGTTTTCTTTACTACCAGACCTCACAAAGCCTTTAAGAGAAAATAATAGGACATACCCCTTCCCACATTTGTTTGACTTTTGAAACATAGTGGTTAAGGGTGCAAACTTCAGGGTCAGACTTGATGAGTTTAAAGCCAAGCTACTTCATTACTAGTTGCGTGACCTTGGACAAATGTTGTAATGCCTCTGTACTTCCATTTTTACATTGTCCAATGAGGAGGATGATACAATCTGCCTGTTGTAAGGATTGAGAGAGTTATGGTAGGGTATTAGCGTTGGATTTTTAGCACAGGACAGGTGTTCGCAGGAACACATATGGGAAATGCTGGTAGAGAAGGAGTACTGGCCTGGGCGACTAGAGCCCTATGACCTTAGATAAGACTCCTAAACCCCTCTTAACAACATTTGTTTCCATAATGAATTGACGGAATTTCTAGGTGTTCCCTGTCTTTTCCAATTCATATTTGCCAAAGTTAATAATTTTCAGATTACTAAAAATAGAACATGCAAGGCCATCTATAATCAGTGAGACATTATAAACAGAAGATGGGATGATTTTTGCAATTTCTTTTATTAATCTGTCACTTGTGGGCTCTTTGAGGATTGGACCAATTAACTCTTTGAGTGGCTCCTTAAGCTTTGTTTGGGAAAACAAATCTGCTTACTCTTACTCACATAACTTTTTTTTGCATGTGTAGGTCGGCTCAATGACATATATGGAGATTACAAATATACATACTGGGCATGTGGCATCGTCCTAATTGTTTCGGGTATCTATCTCTTCATTGGCATGGGCATCAATTACCGACTTTTGGCCAAAGAACAGAAAGAAGAAGAGAAGAAGAGAAAGGAAGCTAAAGAGGAGGAGACCAGTATAGATGCTGCTGAGAAGCCAAAGGAAGTGACAGCAGAATCTCCGACCCAGAAAGACACAGAAGGAGGCCCCAAAGAGGAGGAGAGTCCAGTCTGAACCCACGGGCTGAAGGGTAACTGGAGCAATTTCTGACCCAAGATCTCTGAAAATATTCTACTGGCCTGTAATCTACCAGTGGTGCTCAATGCAGATAGTGGACATTTGTGTGGAAATACACCAGGTGTTCTTCGATGGAATTTTTGTTTCACTCCTTAACCAATAGCCTGAATTTAAAATGCCATATGCTTTGGGGAGGGAGTGGTTGGTGGCAAAGGATGAGGGAAGGCAGTAGGTTTTGTTTTGTTTTGATCGTAGCTTTTAACCGTGTCATGGAGATTATAATATGTGCCTTAAGTTTTAGTCTTTAGAACTCTTTAGAGAGCCTTAACTTTTTAAACCATTCTGCTGAATTCATCTATTTTGAGTGTTGCATTACAAGGAAAAATAACTAACCTGTTGGAGGCAAATCTAAAAGTTAAAATTAATCTTGCTTCACGTTATATGTAATATATTGTCAAACATTGTCACTGGAAGATTTATGAATAGAAATACTGGTTGAAAGTTGGAGATTTTATAAATTGCTGACTAAAATATTTTCCTAGCAATAGTAGTTTTCTGGCGTATGTTCCTGCTAGCTTTATATTTAGGAAATGTAAAGCATAAAACTCTGGAAACATCCTGGCTGTTCCAGCCACATTGTGCTTGTCAACATCTCTCAGGTACCTTTTCTTGGGATGCTCATTGGAAGCCAAGTAAGTGCTTGAGAATTTTTTTCATTAAATCACTACTTTTGCTCCCCAGCTCAAAGACACATTTTGAGTAGCTATAGATCATTGCCCCTTTTGAAATCACATGGTATTATTTTTCTCACTGTAAAAGGTAGTATTAAATGATATAAAACTATATATTTGTGCCTCCTTAGTAAATATAACACATCTCATTAAATGCAGACAGATATTTCAAACATCAGCTGAGTTCAGTTTATGTTTTTACAGAACCTCAGTTAAACTGTGAGAGACTATTGGAATCTTTTTTTCCTGGAATTTTCCCCTTTTGATTCACAGTGGTCTACTTTAGAGCTGTGTGTGACATATTCAGTCTGTGTGTGTTTGGAGGTTTTCTTTTCTTTTTTTTTCCCCCGATGTTTGCAAATTAAAGGGGGCCAGAAAAATTTGGCACCAGGCAAAGAAAGAAAGATAAGATTGGGAGGGAAGACTGCTAAGTGTGCTTAGTTTTAATAAGTAATTCCTTTTCTTTTTTCTGAGAAGGCCTTAAGAAAATTGTTATGCTTAGAATTATTGGACACATTCTCACTCTCCACACTAACCTAAAAATTTTTGTGACCCTTTTCACTTACCTGAAAAGAGAGAAATGGGTTCAGTATCAGGATAGGAGGGAGAGCGGACCAGAATGAAAACTGTAAATATTTTTTAAGCTAGTATCTTTTAAATGGAGGCAGAAAGATATAGATATTCAATGAATTATATTCAGTACATGTAAAATACCACTGTAATTGACAGAATGAAAGTATAGATACAAAACCTTGTGTAAGAGGCTGACTTTTCTAAATAAACATTTTTTTTTTTTTTAGAAAATGTTTCTTCCTCCAAATGTTTATTTTCTTGAGGAAAATACTGTGTCTTCACTTTCATTATCAAGTTTCAACCTGGCCTTTGCTAATACTAAATTAAATCATCCAGCTTATGAACTTTGAGATCTGTGTATATGGTGTATTTTATTTTGATTTTCCCCTTTGCCCTTCTTTGCTTTAAGACAAGCAGGAGGAGGATTTTGAAACCTTTCTCGGTTAACCTTGAGGACACAATGAAAGACTCCCTTGGGGTGCATGAGCGTTATGGAGATGGAGGAAGTTTAGGGGAGAAGCCATCTAAGAGTGTTATTAGCAGACTGGGCCCCTGTTTGGACTTGGCCTTTTTCTGTGGACCCAAGTCTGCAACCTCTGTGTACCTCTTGCCCTTCTGTAAAAAAAGATTGCTGTTGGTGAGGGCATGTAAGTAAAGGAAATACTACAAAAGAAAAGTAAAGCAAGTATCAAGTTATTTTCACCTATCTAGTGTTGTAGCTACACACAGCAGCAGGCCCTGCTTAATCTATGTTCAAAAGTTGAATCTTGTTAGTGGAGTGAGAGTTTATGGTGTAGATTAACCACCACTTATTAGAAGAGAAGGTTCCGAAGTTGCCAGATTAAGAAGCAAAAGTTAGTACTCACAGTCCTCATTTATTGTGCTTCGTACATACTTTTTCTTTTTACAAGTTTGGTTTTGCCATTTTTCCAACAGCATGTGCTCACTTCATTAGCTTTTTTTTTTACCAATAAAGTATTTTAAAATTAGGAATGTATATTGTATTTTCAAATATAATGCCATTTCACACTTCCTAGGCTACAGTATAGTGTAAACATAACTTTCATATGAACTGGGAAACCAAACAGTGTGGGCCTTGCTTCATTTCAGTATTTGCTTTATTGCAGTGGTCTTGAACTTAACCTGCAGTATCTCCAATGCTGGCCTGTAACTAGCTCAAAATTGGAACTAAACATTTTACCACCCATCCAACCCTGACTTCAGGCTTAAGGGATTTATTCGAGATCAGTTTTGGTAACAGAGCCAACACTAGAACTCAGTGTAGGCCCGCTCTGGGCCATTGCTTCCTTGTTAACCGTCCGTTTATCCTCCACGTGGCAAGTCGACGAGGGAAGCCCGTGGGCCTTCTGACCCAGTCCGGTCTCGCACTCCATCTGCAGACTGACGCCATTCAAAGTTGTATCTCCGTTCACATGGTTTCAGCGGCTGCTTTGGGTAAACATGTATACATAGAGCACCTGCCTATCTTTTTCCTTTTCTTGCCCCGCATTCCCTGTAAGTCCCAGAGAGAACGTAATACAGCTCTTGGGTAGTTGCAGTCCCCCAAAAGGCATGAGATTGTTTATTGTTCAAGGGAACACACTCTGAAACAGGGTCCCAAGTCAAAGCTGGAAAATCAAGAAACTGACAGACTGGATAACTGCAGAAGATCATGGTAACATAAACCAGACCACAATATCATGTTATATGCAAATCTACTGACAGTTTAAACTGTCTTAACTAGCTAAGAAAAATGAATAGTTTATATGAAAAGTAGTAAGGAAAGTTGATGATAAAGCAGTTTATGGAAAATTCAGAGGGGTTTTATCCTTGATTTAGTCACATTGATGAAGCATTCTTTCTTCGGATTCATAGGTTGCCCGAATATTTTTGTATGAACCCATGTTTTATTGTATTGAATTTTAGATTGATTAATTGGTTATTGGTTACATGTTTGTGCGAAAAACCTAAATGTCTGGGTTTTACCTCCCCTAAGAAATGGTTCACGGTATAAGACACGTTAATCATCAGTGCAGGAATTCCCTCTTCTGTGCCCCCCCCAGATACACTTTTGCTTAGAAAGATAAGGGAAGGTTAACAGTAGATATTCCCCTTTGCAACATGGCTTGTTTTAATAATCAAGTCAGGTACTCGCCTAGAAGACACGAAGAAAGAGGCTGATGATAGACTTGTGTAACTAGGACCACTCTAGCAGTGCTTAATGGGAAGTGACTACCCAAGCTATCCTGAATTGCCCAAATGTGAGCAAATGGGCCAAGCTGCTTCAGAGTTTAGAAGCATCTGGTTAAGGGAGGGGGCAGGAGTTCTGGTACATTGCTACCTGAAATGTGTTCTAGCTTTAGGGTTTCAGATCCCGTCACCCTTCTTCTTCCATTCGGTCAGGGCTATACTGGCAAAATCATTCAAATATGAGCAATTGGAGACAGTAGCATGGACTAGGTGTAGCATACCTTTCTCCTCAGCTGAAAGGGATCTGTTCCCTTGACCTGCCTAGAGGAGATAGCTAGCAAAAAGGGCCACAGCCTACTGGCTGATTAGCAGGGTAGGCTGCCTGGGTTCAAACTGAGGCTGTGTGACCTCAAACAAGTTACTTAGCCTCCCTAAGCTCAGTAACTTCTACGTAGGGTGTGATAATAATTAGTACCCACTCCTAGGAGTATCATGAAGGTTAGCTGATATGTGACAGCTTGTATTAAGCAAGTGCTTAATAAGTGTAGACACTTGACTGTAAAAAAGTTAATGTTTGGGGGAAAATGGGCTACTATAATTCCTAAAATGGATCCTTACTTGCAGAGGATGATTCCATGGTGACTCTAAAGAATATTAGAAGCTGGGCGCAGTGGCTCACACCTATAATCCCAGCTCTGTGGGAGGCTGAGGTGAGAGGACTGCCTGAGCCCGTGGGTTCAAGACCAGCCTGGACAACTTGGCGAGACTTCATCTCTACAATAAATCAAAAAATTAGCCAGGAGTGGTGGCACATGCCTGTAGTTCCAGCTACTTGGAAGGCTGAGGCGGAAAGATCACCTGAGCCCAGCAGGTCGAGGCTGCGGTGGCTGGGAGCATGCCACTGCACTCCAGCCTGGGCAACAGAGTGAGATTCCAACTCAAAAAGAATTAAAATAAAAAGAATATTAGAAGCCAGGCACGGTGGCTCACGCCTGTAATCCCAGCGCTTTGGGAGGCCAAAGCAGGAGAATTGCTTGAGCTCAGGAGTTTGAAACTAGCCTGGGCAACATAGTGAGACCTTGCCTCTACAAAAAAATTTTAGCCGGGCTCGGTGGCTCAGCCTGTAATCCCGCGCCTTTGGGAGGCTGAGGTGAGTGGATTGCCTGAGCCCGCGGGTTCGAGACCCGCCTGGGCAGCGAGACCTCATCTCTACAATAAATCAAAAAATCAGCTGGGCGTGGTAGCGTGCACCTGTAATTCCGGCTACTCGGAAGGCTGAGGCGGAAGGATCTCCAGAGCCCAGCAGGTCGAGGCTGCGGTGGCCGGAAGCGGCCACTGTACTCCAGTCTGGGTGACTGAGTGAGACTCCCAACATAAAAAAAAAAAAAAAAATTTTTTTAAATTACCTGGACATAGTAGTGTGAGCCTGTAGTCTCAGCTACTCAGGGGGCTGAGGTGGAAGGATTGTCTGAGCCCAGGAAGTCAAGGCTGCAGTGAGACATGAGTGTGCTACTGCACTCCAGCCTGGGCAACAGAGCGAGACTTTGACTCAAAAAAAAAAAAAAAAAACATTTTATATATATATATATATATATATATATATATATATATATATTTCCAACTCTTTGTATAAGACAGATTAGAATCCCAAAACCCTTTGTCTTTCTACTCTGACAACACACTCCCTTCATAGGGAAAAAGTGCCCCTTACTAGTAGCCAAGAAACTTTTCTGTTTAATAGCTGGATGCTTCTATAAGAGAAGAAATATAACTAGTAGCTAATCATGGTTAAAGTTCTTAATCCCTAACCTTTATTTTTCATCTTTTTTTTTTTTAATTTTAAAGATGTGGGGTACAATTCAGGGGTAGATATACAAATGGTCTTACAGGTAAAGGCTGGGCCTAATTTTGGTCCCCACTTTGCCTGGTTTGAGATCAGGTACCCTTCTTAATCTAGTCTACTCCTCCCTCCCCAGTAATGCTTTTTAATGCTCATTGAAAGGTTGATGAGATTTCTATTTTTCCCAACTACATCAATTGATTTAAATGATAAATTATTATCAGTTGGCAGCTGAGAAAATTGGTCTAACGTTTTGGGAAAGCAGTGTTGTACTATGTATCAAACACCATGGGCTCACATCTCTTCCCTAAAAATTCCAGATTTGGGAAGTTAAGAAAGTTTATGTCTGTCTTTGAAATGACCAATTTATTTGAAAAATTCTTACTTGGTTGTCAATAAGTATTTAGATGGATAGTTCTGAAGTCCTTGTGATATAAACATGACATGATGTTAAGCAATACAAACCAGCATGACATGTTTGCGTCTATATGCATAGTACATATATACACATCCTCAGGGAACACAAGAAAATGCGTAAGTATACTATGTATAATTCTGTGAGTGTGGTAAAATCAGAGACAACTTTGTTCTTTCCACATTCTAACTTTTCTTAATGCGATGGCAACTTTTATACTAAATGAAAACCGAAGGTAGCACATACTTCTGATTACAGAGGGATAAGGCAGCGCATCTGATCTGGAAGGTCTGGCAAGAGACACTCGACTCCTGAGAAAATGAAGCGAATGCTTGTTACAAGCAGGTCACTTTGCTTCTCCAAGTTGCCTTCTGGTGAAAGGGAGGTGAGTGACATGGAACTCAGGTGCACAGTGGTCTCCCACTGTGACGTTGCTGGTGCTGGATCAAAACTGGAGCCCATAGGCCACCTGTGTCGCCGCCACAGCCTCCTTCCTGCAGGTGGTGCTTAGAGCCGTATTCCTGTGGGTCCCTTCTGATGTCTTTCACCCGCAGGTGAATGTGTAACTCGGGAAGCCAGAACGTTCCACACACACCCTCTCACCCACAGCAGTGTCGTGGTTGTCCTCCAGCGTTGTCTCACCGAGATCGGCATTAGAAAAGAATACCCTGATGTCACTAAAAGGCAGGGGTGGAATTCGCTTGTCCACACAGCTATCATTTGTTATTCGCTAAGGTATTTATTGGATCCTCGGTATGTCCCGGGTATTGTT